GCTGAGGTGAAGGAACACAGCATCAGAGACAACCCAACTGCTATAAAGGCTTTTAGCTAAAGATTTAAAGAAAACAAATGTGTCTTGGAGGGATTGCTCACACAGTGGCTTAATATTTTGCACAGAGGAATTATTACTATCTATAAAAACTTACTAATGGGGACAGTATTTCATAAACTATAACAACAAACATTTTGTTCTAAAAACTGGCATGGGATTAGAAGAGATCACCCTCATCCTCTGCAAATCACAGACCACTGAGCAAAGGTACTGAGCTCAAAGGGATTCATCCACCATTTATTTCCAACAACCCATCAGAGCTCAGAAGATTTTTCAGCACTCCATAAGAAAATCCTTCATGAAAAGCCTCCCATGAAAATGGGAGAACTGTGTCATGGGAAAGTGGATAGATCAAGGACTTTACTGAGATGGTCAGCTCCTCCTGACCTATCAGGGAATTTTACTTTATTGTTGTTCCTTAAAAGTGGTTCTTCATCAACAACTTCCCAACTTTCTGGTTTGTTGGTTTTGTCTGGTCTTTTTGTTTTGTTATGTTTCTTGTTTTGCGGTGTTTTTTTGTTTATTTTTTCCCCCAAAGAATTGACCCAGCAGAAATATTCAGAAAAAGGTGATGAATAAAGGGTTTTCACTGCCAAGCAGAGATGGAAGAGAAGTTTCTGATGAGGTGGAAAGGGAAAGGCTGTTTGTAAGTCTCTTGGAGAGCAGTAGGAACAGGGTGCACTGAGTATCAGAATAATCTGATCAAAAAAGGACCCACAATAATCATCAAAGTCCCCCAGGGTAGCATGGGAATTGCTGGCAAGAATAAAAATGAGACTTTCTTGTACCAGGCATACAGACAATCATATCAGTAATATCATATCAGTATTTGTTATCACAAAGATAAAAGGGTGAATACAAGGAGAGAAGGACAGATCAGACAGTTTTCGCTAGAAAATAGCAATCCTTTAAAATGTTGAGTTCTTTTGTAAGCTGGTTTCTGTTTCTCTGAAATCCTGTATAGGAAAACTCAGGAAAAGGCCCAGTCTCATTTTAAAAATAAAACAGTGTCACTTTTCTCTTTGAAAAAACTCTTTCAATGAGATTTTATAGTAAATTCGTGTGACCCATCTGTCAAAGAGTATCTGAGCAGAAACTAAATGCTCAGGACTGTTCTGAAGAACTTTACCATTGCCGATGTAATTTCTGTCTGTGGAGAAGTGTGGAATTTTCTGTCTCCTTTCTGCTTAAAGCTGAGCTGAATTTGGGCTTCTAAAATACTTTTGTGTGAGTGGAATCTACACACAGCTGCTGGATATGTTTCCTTAAGAGCCCTTGGAGCATCCATGAGTCTGAAGTAGATCAAGGATGTGTTGTAGGGGAAAGTTGTGGAGAGACGTGGGGAATAGAAGGGCTCAGTCAAGGTGCTGAGCAATCTGGTCTCAGTTCAGCACAGCTTTTAATGGGCTTAGTTTCATTCTCAGTGACTCACTAACAATTTACATGCCTGAAGTTAAGCACCTGCTCAGGGATTTTTCTCAATTGCACCCCTGGGATGAGGTCTACTTTTAACTCACCACTTCAAGACCGTGTTCCTCCTCAGTTTTGCTGCTCCAGTCCAGATCCCCACCTGATTCTTCTCCCACCCCAGAAACTCCCAAATACCTCTGCCTTTTTTCTTTCTTTAATTCTACTTGTGTTTGTATTTATTCCCAATTTATTATCAGCTGTAACTGTCATTCATCCACAGATCATTCATCCATTCTTGAATGCAATTTAATAACATCGGAACTAACACTGATCATTTTCACACCTCGGGAATGAAACAAATAAAGCCTTTCCAATATGGTTCATTGTTTTTTGTATTTTCCATTTGTTTCTGTTCTTCCAGCCTGTTTGCTGCCCACATGTTAGTTATTTTGGTTTGTTTTTTTTCTCAAGCCAATTTGGACTAATTTCTCCACTGTTGGCTTCACAGGAAACAGGATCAAATATTTTGGTAAAATCCAAGCATATTATAGTGTCTTGTATCCCCTTCACCCCCTAATTGTGTAATCCATCCTCAGATTAATCAAATTTATCTGGCAAAACCCAGTTTTCTGAACCTCTTGCTAACTATTCCTCATGGTTCACTTACCCTGGAGATATCTAAAGATGTACCACTCCCATTGTGCCACGCCATCGTTGCTTCCATTCTGTATTTTGGAAAGAAGCTGGACTTCTGGCGTGTGGGGGGACACTTTGGGTTACACTGGGCTGTTGTGGGAAGAAGGAATGCTGCTGGGAAGGGTGTGTTCCATGATGCACAACCAGATAAAACTTCCCTGCCAAATGAGCAGTGACTGGGAGTGCTTTCACAGGGTGTCATCCTTAGTCCATGGTCCAAAGGGCATTTTGAAAAGAGTAGGCAACACCTCTTAAGCAGTCAGAGGAAAGCAAACAAAATCATGGATTTGTTGGACATTTGGGTGTCTCACTAATGGTCTGAAATGACCCAGCCATCAGTGTTGGATAGGCTGACAGTGTGCTGTTTAAACTCTTACACCTAAAAATACCTTGGATATCTCATCCAAGGTCCCAGGGCAGCAGGGGAGGGGGGATTCTGCTCCTCTGCCCTGCTCTGCTGAGACCCCCCTGCAGGGCTGTGTCCAGCCCTGGCCCAGCAGAGGAGGACAGGGAGCTGCTGGAGCCAAGACAGGGGAGGCCACAAAGTTGATAAGGGGACTGGAGCATTTTCCCTATAGAAACAGGCCAAGAAAGTTGAGCCTGGAGAAGAGAAAGTTGTGTGGAGACCTCATAGAAACCTTCTGGTGTCTGAAGGGACCTCTTCATCAGGAACAGCAGTGACAGGAACTTTAGCACTGATGGAGAGTAGGTTTAGATTGGATATTAGGAAGAAATTGTTCCCTGTGAGGGTGGTGAGGCTTTGGCACAGGCTGACCAGAGAAGCTGTGGGTTCCCCATCCCTGGCAGCGTCCAAGGCCAGGCTGGATGGGGCTCTGAGCAACCTGGGATAGTGGAAGGTGTCCCTGTCCATGATGGGGGTTGAAATTTGATGATCTTTAAGGTCCCTTCCAACTTGAGGTCCCTTCCAACTCAAGTCATTCCATAACTCTTTGGAAGTAGGTAGGTTGGAGTGACCAGGCTCTGATTTATCCCTCACTTAAAAGGGCTTTTTAGGAAAAGGGCCACTGCAGCGGGAGGAAGGACATCCTTGCAAGCCCATAATGGAGATATATTTGCTTGAATCAAAAGGGTGAGTGTACAGTGCTTCAAGTGTTGAGGAACAGAAAAAATTGCATGGAAGGAGAGAATGAACTTTAACAAGGAGCTACCACAACAAAAACCAATCAAGCAGTAAAATGAGAGTTTGAAAATAATAAATATATTTTTTTAATAGCTAAATTTTTGTTGCTTTTCAAATCGGGGTCAGGGGTGTGATATAAAACCATCTGGGAGAGAAAACAATGAAAAGCAAAACTGGGTGATCATACATCTGGCATTTTGTACCATGAGTTTTCTCCATGTGTGTGGGTACTCCAAGAGAGCTACTTGCATTGCATAATTGAGAGTGATTCAGTGACCACAAAATATTTCTTTTATTCCAGGGAGAAACAAAAAAAATAAATCTTACTGAGGTTTTCAAAACTCTGAATCTTTCCAGCCGGTTTCCCAGCTGTGTTTCAGGTGAGTGTGATTTTGAGATGGCCCTGGATGCTTTGACTGTCAGAGACTCCACATGAAACTGTGGAGCATGTTTGCCTCCTAGGAAGCAGAGTTGCAGTCCTGAGGCTGGGATTTCTCTCAGACTGGCAATCCCAGCCATGTAGTGGAGTTTTCTCTTTAAGCAAGGTGGCAGAAGAGCAGGGATGGGTGGCCTGTAGTGATTAACAAGTTTGTGAACTCCTCCACTTCCAAGAAGCAGCATTTTGGCACCACTGAAAAGGCCTGGTGGGTACTGACTCAGCTCAAAATGAAATATGCCTTGGTATTTTTTGTTTATCAACCCCCAAAACCCCCACCTGGACAGATACACTGTTGGCTGCTCCATGAAAGCTGATACACAACCAACACCTTGTAGCCTAAGTTTGCCTTTAATGGGGGGATTACACCACTCAACCAATAGATACATGATATTTGCTGAGAAAAGTCACTGTTAAAAATAGCTGTTATTAAAAGTCACAGGGTTGTAAATAGTGCTTACTTCTCCATCTCATTTTGAGGATATACACTTCATAATCTTAGGAACTCAATGATGCTAGGTTTCTTTTGTATATTTGTATACAAATTGTATACTTGTATACAAAATACATTTGTAGAATTTTTACTGTCCTTCCTCTACACTTTTACTAAATCGAGGTATTTATGCAACACAATTGGATTAGATACAGACCTGAAACAATCCCCCCATGACCCAATTCTACCTGGCTAAATCCATTTGACTCTTTTGAAGAGTCTTGAGTTTGCTTGTCTTCCCAAGGCTGCCTGGTTGTTTGTCCAGGGGGGAATGGGAATAGGCTGGGCTTAGGCTTTGTGTTTGCTTGTTGTGATAATGGATGACAGAGGGACCCCAGGCAGGTGCAAGGGAGTGCTCTCTGTTGCCAAAAACCTGGCCTTTTAAAGCAGTTAGCTGGTTATCAGTTTACACACATGTGTTTTAAGGCACATCAAGCCCAAGTCAACCAACCACCATACACCACGATGTGGACATGATGTGGACATGCAGCAGTCACACAGCACATCTCTCATGTCTCTCATGTCTTGTCTCTCACGTCTCTCTACCCCTATTCCAGCTGAGTCACTCTCCCAAAGTTCCCTTCTACTTAGCCTAAGTAATGGGCCAGAGCCATGCTACAAAGCATTGCCTTTATAAAGCTTTACCTACCAGTAACATTTGCTCTCTGCCCAAGGAAGAGCTTTGTTTGCTGCAGAAGATCCAAAACTCTGTTGTCAAAACTTGTTTCTTCTTCATCTCCAGTTTGGTGCATTAGCAAAGCAGGGTCTCCAAGCATAAACCATGGGATTTCCAGCATGACTTTCCCCTGCTCTTTGCCATCACTAAGGTAAATATATTTTGACCTTTGTTGGTTTTCTTTTCCTTCTCAGTGATCAATCAGTGCCTGCAGGAATTTCAGAGAAAGCAAGACAACAATTGATCTGAAACTTTATGATTCTGCCTGACATTATGCTCTACCTACAGACACCTGGAGCAGGTGACACAGGAGCATGTCCAGGTGGGATTGGAATGTCTCCAGAGAGGGAGACTCCAGCCCCTCCCTGGGCAGCTGTTCCAGGGCTCTGCCACCCTCAATGTACAGAAATTCTTCCTCACGTTGAGGTGGAACTTCTTGTGTTTAGTTTATGGACATTCCTCCTCATCCTGTCCCTGAGCATCACTGAAAAGATCCTGGCACCACCTCAAAACCCATATTCGAGATACTTGTATGTATTGACGAGATGCCCTTTCAGTGTTCTCTCGTGGCAGTGGCGAAATTCCTGTGTGAGGAGGGGAGCCAGCACCAAGGCCTGACCAGCGGGAAGCTGTTCAGCTGTGGCAGCTGCACTACTTTGGCAGCAGTTTAGGTCATGTGTGTCCTGTGTCCCCCAGATTAGTTCCTTGGGAGGTCAGCCGAGCTCTAGAGCTTGTGGCACACAGAGTTTGTGGCACACAGAGTTTGTGGCACACAGTTTGTGGCACACAGGCCTTGGCAGGTAGGCCGAGGCCTTTCCCTGCCTCTGAGCTGCGCTGGTGCTGAGGGCTTTCCTGAGACAGGTTAATGAAGCACCTCTGCATATGAGCTGTGAAATTACAGCCTGTAATAACCCCAGTTAACCCTGGAACAGCCCTGGTGCCCTGTGGAAAACCCCATTTGGGGTCAGTGTTTTCCTTGAGCTTGTAGCTGAAAGGAGAGGAAGGACAGATTGCAGCTGCACATGGCAGGTAAGTTGGGGCAGAGCCAGTAGCGCAGGCCAGGCCTGCTCTGCCCCTGCCTTTTGGCTTTTTTGGGATTATTGTTCACAGTCTGTTGCATTCCTCTTTGCTGCTTAACCCTGGCTAATTTGCTTTTGCACTTTGGCTCCTGAAGGCAACATATCGCTAGCATGAAAAATAAAAATAAATTCATGCATCCATGCTGGTGTTTTGCACCCAGAAAAATGCCTGTGGGGCCAATTGGAGTGGGACTGAAACTGCCACTGCTGCCCTTTCCAAGCACTCAGGGATAACAGGGACCTGTGCACAGTCTTTGTGTGTGCTGGATGGCCCAGGGTGGCTTCCATGGCTCTTTGTGTGCAGTAGGTGTCATTAAAAAGACAACATTTGACACCCTGCCTTGGCTGGAGGACTTGGTGGCTACAGCTCCTAGATGTAATGGGATCAGGAGTGGCCTGGTGTGAAAGACTTAACTTTTCTTTCTGCTCCTTTCTGAAGTGGAAAGATTTGGAGGGACATGTGGATTTCCTTCCTCTGGTTAGAGATACTGATCATGAAATGTGTCACCTCAACATGTCTGTGCCGGCCTGAGACATCAAATCTGATTGGAAAATATTTTCTATGAATGCTTTATCCCAACCTCTACTTCTACCACCTTAATAGTGAGGATAGGGGAAGTGAAAGAATGGTAAAAGTACAAAGACCTTACAGAGCAGGATAGGCCAGCTAGTATTTCTTCCTTAATTTTTTCTTTAAAACATGGCTTTTCCCACTGTCAGGTTACCTACACGACCAGCAATCTCAAACCTGCTCAGTTTCTGTATAGGCTGACTTAAGAAACATGGCAAAAAAGTGTGACAGCAGCTACAAGTCTGAGTCAGAAAAATTGGTAAAATCCAGTATTAAGATGTGAACTGAGCAGAGCACATCTTCCTCTGTACAACAGATCTGAACTGTCTTTGGACAGCTGCCAATTCACATGAGCCTGATCCTTTCCCCTCTTCATGAGGAGGAGAGGAGAGGGATGTGCTGATCTTTTCTCTCTGGTGCAAGGGAATGGCTTAAAACTGCATCAAGGGAGGCTCAGGCTGAATGTCAGGGAAATGTTCTTCTCTGAGAAGGTGATCTAGCAGTGAAAGCTGCCCAGGGAAGTGGCACCAAACCTGATGGTGTGCAAGGAGCACTTGGACAACATTCTTTGATACACAGGTTAATTTTTAAGCCGTCCCGTGTGAAGTCAGGAGTTGGACTTGATGATCCTCCTGGGACCCTTCCAGTTCAGGATATTCTGTGAAGTTGAGTCCACTTTGGATAGCCAAACATTTAACCCAGAAGGAACTAAGGTGTGCAGTGGGGTTTGTTGTGGTTGACTCAAGAATTACTTATCTCCACATAAACCCCAGCTGTTGGGATATCAAAGAGCAGGAAATGGGCCCACAGCATTCACTGCAGCTTCATCATCTTTCCTTGCACTGATAACAGTCTTGTTTCAAGCCTGATTTAATTTGCCACTCCTTCTTCCTACTGAGGGCATGGTAATTAGAGAACCATCTTCTCATTATTAATGATTACTACTAGATTCATTACTAGTAGAGATAGAAAAATCTTCATTCTGAACAACAGACACATTAAGAGGACGAAAAAGATGAAATTAGAGTGACAAATATTATAATTCTTGTTTTTCATGGGTGAGACAGAAAGCAACAAAATCAGTTGATTTCTCCCCTTTCCAAAATCATATTGATAGCGGATGTTCCTTTTATTAATAATTCTGGGTGCCTAACCAGACTTCTGAAAGGTTGGCAGAGTTCAGACTTCCCTCAGGCTCTTAGTCCTTTGTCTGAAATATGTCTTTTAAAGAATTCCCAACCTGTTTTTTACAGTTCTCAATTTTTTTTTTTTTTTTGGTCTTTCATTAACCACTGTGAAATGCCCAGGTGTGACAACAACAGTAAATGAACCAAAATTGTCAACTTTTATTAAACATCAGAGCTCTCAAATATAGAAAGAGTCCTAAAAATCTACTGAAAGTTGGAACACTGTTAAATACTGGACACAATATCTGAGTTGCCACCTGGAAAAGCAATCTGGAATGTGGCTTTCTGTGGGCAAATCCAGCTCCCTCTGTTCAAGTACATGAAAGCAGCACCTTGAAATTACTCTGAAGCTATAGTGATGTCATGAAAATGGAGCAAAATTCCTTGGTGGTCAATCGGTGTAAGATTTTGTGTAAGCTTAGTTTTAATGCCCTTTGACACTTGTTTTGCAGTTTGGATTTTTTGAGGTTTCTTCCTTTCTTCTCTTAAGCTCTCACAGAAAATCTTTGAAATCAGATGCTGTGTGAAATTCAACCCCTTCTGGGTTTAAATTCATACATGCATCTACATATGGATTTTTTTTTTTTTTTGGTGGACTACATCTATATAGAAATACACAGTCAATTAAAAAAGGTAATCATCCTGAGTTTTTATGGTTTAACAGCTGATTTAAAACTGAAATTTGATTTCCTTCCACTTCCAGCCCTTATCCATGGTGTAACTAAGCAACACCACCCTTGTGTTATTGATGGGGCTGAGTGCACACAGTTCTTGCTGACTGGGATAGCCATAACTGCACCCATCTTTAACTGGTAAACCTTGGCCTTCACAGCTGTGATTTCCTGCTGGTGCTGTAGATGCAGAAGCATTGATCTGGAAGTCTTTGGAGGTGTGCTCTTCACTCTGATCTGTGCCTTTTTGGGCAAAGCCTCCCTTTTTTTCTTCTTACATGTCTCTTCCTCAATCACCTGTTTCCAAAACAACATTTCTGAGTACAATTTACTCCTGCAGCAGGCATAGCAGAGCTGGAGGAAGAAAACCAACCTAATAAAAGTTTGCATGTTCCAGTGGGGCAGAATTAAGGCTGATGTGGCTTAAATATTTCTCAGCTGGGCAAAGAGCTGGTGAAGGGTCTGGAGCACAAATCTTATGAGAGGGAGCTGAGGGGGGCTCAGCCTGGAGAAAAGGAGGCTCAGCAGGACCTTCCCACTCTCCACAACTCCCTGACATGAGCATGTAGCCAGGTGGGGGTCAGGCTCTGCTCCCAGGCAAACAGTGGCAGGACAAGAATAAATGACCCCAAGTTGCACCAGGGGAGGTTTAGATTGGATATTAGGAAAAAAACATCTTTACTGAAAGGATTGTTAGGCACTGGAACAGGCTGCCTGGGGAGGTGGTGGGATCACTGTCCCTGGAAGTCATCAAAAATGTGTGAATGTGGCACTTGGGGATATGGCTTAGTAGTGAGCATGGTGGGTTCTGGGTTAATGTTTGGATTTGGTGACCTTTTTGATTTTTTCCAACTTTAAAGGTTCTGTGATTCTTTGGGCCTGGGTGTTGACATGGTGGGAGCTGCCATGGATGTGCAGAAGGCAGCTCTAGGCAAGGCATGTGGGGCTGTCTTGGGAGAGCTGAGAGGGTGGGAAGGGAATTAATTGATACTTCAAACAAGTCATGGAGCACCACATGCTTTCTGGGCAGGCCTCAGGTGCCACAGCAGTGTATGGGAGGTGTGTCATGTTGGTAGCTGTGGGAAGGGAGGAGAGTGTGTGAGCTGATGGCCTGAAGATGCATTTTCACCTGTGGATTTGGGCAGGAGCTGTTCTGCTCCACCTCAGGTTGCCTTAACAGAGTGCTTGGCAGGCAGATTAAAAAATTGACTTTAAAGACTGCTGAGGGATGTCAGTCAAAGGTGCTTAAGAAAAGTCATGTCCTGCTTCCTGAGAGTGAGGATAGATATCCAAGGGTGACCATGAAGCCTTGGCATTGCAAGGGTTTGAGGGCTGTGCCTCTCCCCCAGGAAAGAGCATTTAGAAAATGTTAATTGTGTATCTGCTTGCACTGGAGTCAGTGGTGGCATTCCCAGGCTCAGCAGCTGCTTATGTACTGTGGAATGATATCCAGAATTCATCCTCAAGGACCTTCCTTAAAAGAGGGAAGGATGTAGACACTCTACTAAATATCAGTGGGATCCACAGAAGAGGTCAAGCTAAGACAAAACACATTCCCAGGATAAGGTCTATCTGTCTGAAATTCTGACCTGAGTTTTTTAAGCCCAGTAAATGGATACTAATGCAAAATGCCATGCTGGCTA